GGTTATGTTGAAGTGATTCGTTCAGACTCTACTCAGTTCTGTTGCCTAGGCAAGGTCAGGTGAAGCAGTTCTCGTTCGTCGATTACGCATAAGAAAACAACTTACAGATGAGCGGGTTCCTTATAAAATAAAGGGACAGTCAGTCAGGTAGGCAGTAGTGGGCTACGTGAAGGCTGAGCTAGAGGATGCGGCGATTCACACCTTGGATGACTGGCTTACTGTCGATAATATTCAAAGCCTGACGACTGCAATGTGACGTGGCGCATGCGTACTCTGAAATCCCACTGAGCCACTATTGGTCTCACGACTCTTCAGCTCCGTCGAGACGTACGACATGTCACATGACGTAGTTAAACCGCGTTACTTTCTGAACAAAATGCATAGAATATGCCAGTGATACCTTGGTACTGCGTTGAGTTAGTTCAGTAGATGATCTTGCAGACGATTCTTGTACAGTCACTTCTCTTCAGGACTGATCAGCAAGAAATAGTTTATTCATTAATTAATGTAAAACCAATTAATTTTTTTTCCGGCACAACAAGTTTTCCTGTGATACGTTAACCAATTGTCTTGTCCCCTCTATTTCACTGCAGGGCCAAAACATAGATAAGGTGCACAGCACTAGCTATCTTAATGTAATTATAAACGAAAGTGTAAAACTCGCAGAAATATTAGTAGGAAAGTTGAGTTATTTTTTTTAAAAGTCTAGCCTCATTACAAACCCTAAAAAACTTGGGAATTCTTTCTAAGAGCCTGTATACTTCGTTAAATTGGAAATTCTTCGCCAGAATACTTATCCCTTCATAAAGGGAAATAGGCAAGTTTCAATCGATTTTCAAAATTTTCAGCAGAGCAAATCACCTGCCCTATATAAATTTCGTGAACGTCGTGGTGTATCAAATTGTAAGATGTAGTGTAAAGCTTGGTGCATCTATTCTAACCGTTCTGCTGTTTCAAACCTGTGCCTGCGTGATGCTGAAGCATACATCAGTTCTTTGATCCCACAGACGGTTCGCATTCTTCAGGAAGAGGAACAGAAAAGACGAAATCTGTTCTAATCCATTCTCATGTTAGCCCATAGGTTTACATATTCATCCGCTTTGACTTTTTTTCGCCAGTCTATATTGTCTATCATTCTTTGCTCATCGTATCGTTATTACGCATTCATCATCGGTCTGATTTGTTGTTGCTTGTTTGTGCATTATATGTATATTGTTATATTAATGAGTCAGTGATTGCTGAAATGTTAATCTGTGCTAGTTTTACGTAATATTTCCCATAATTTAAATGGTAAACTCTTTTGGTTGATTGAATCGAAATTTACTGAACTTACAGTAAACTTTCTAGCTTTCAACTTATAAGTTTTCAAGTATAAAAAGTCAGTTCTCATTTGCAAAATATAACTTAAAATTCTTCAACTTGTCTGTAAATAAATATTAGATAAAATATTACTTTTTCTTACTGATACGTTCGCCAATTTAAGGCTAATCTGGCGCAAGATAATGTGAAGGAGACATCCGACTTCAGAGACATAGAACACTCAATAGAATGTACGCCTGACGACGAACCCTTATTGAAGAAAGATCCTGAAAGACGTTTGTTGTACCCGTTGAAGTTTCCTTCTATCTGGCATTACTTCAAAAAAGCTGAAGCGTCATTCTGGACGGTTGAGGAAGTAAGAAAAACGTTCATGATAGATGTACAGGCGTCCTGTTGTTGACGTATATTTACTACACTGCAGGTAGACCTCAGCAAGGACATGGCGGACTGGGAGAAACTAAATGACGGAGAGAGGCACTTTATTTCCCATGTTTTGGCATTTTTCGCCGCTTCTGATGGAATTGTGAACGAAAATCTGGTAGGTTTCTTACTTCTTAATGTAGTTTTGACTAGAACAATAACTATAATAGATTTTAATAAAAGTTTTTAGTTTTTGTTTTTCTTAGTGATTTACTTTAACACCAACGTTTCAGTATTTGAGTCTGTTTTGATGATGAATTGAGGATGAATGATCCTCTTTATATGCTTCCGCAAGAACATTTTAATGTATCTATTTAATAAACACGCCACAAATAACTTGCCTATATGATGAAATGTTTCTACGGAAGTTTGAATTTGCATCTCACAGGCATTCTTCCAACTAATTTCCGCTGCCCTCTTCTGCACCGGCTTCATTATTTTGAG